CTCCTTGTGGGGAGCCGATGCGGGACTCGATCCCAGGACCCTGAGATCATCACTGGAGCAGAAGGCAGACGCTCAACCACTGAGTCATCAGGCACCCCACAATTTTTAATTAAATATAGGGAAAACATGTTTAAAGCAGCCCAAAAAAACAAGCCTCTGTAATGGCTCCCCACTGCCTCCAGGATAACGTCAAGCCCCGTGGCCTGCCGACCGGTCCCCAGGTTCCTTTCATCCGCCATCTGTGGCTTTCCGGCCGCTTCTCTATCGAAAATGCCGTTCTTGGGCAGCCCGGGTGGCGCAGCGGTTTGGAGCCTGCCTTCGGCCCAGGGCGTGATCCTGGAGACCCGGGATCGAGTCCCACATCGGGCTCCCTGCGTGGAGCCTGCTTCTCCCTCTGTCTGTGTCTCTGCCTCTCTCTCTCTCTCTCCTTTCTGTGTTTTTCATAAATAAATAAAATCTTAAAAAAAAAAAAAGAAAATGCCATTCTTCCACCAGCCGAATTCCGCCTCATTTTCCAGAGAGGGCTGAGCTCCCCATCCCTTAAGAGATGCCTCAAAGGGCACCTCTGCTCTGGAGGCTCATCCGCTCTGTGGCCCTCTTCGGCCCGGCCTGGGGTGGCCCTGGGGTGCAGCAGCCGCGTCCTGCTCTCCTTATCCTCCTAGAACCTCTCCACCGGCGGGGGTGGGGCCAGCGCCTCTTGTACCAAATCCTGTGGGTTCATTACCCCCAGCTTTGGCTTCCCATAAGCAGGCGCCTTTTTTCTTGTGTATCCCCAGTGTTTGCTGAAATGGGGGGGGGGCTAAAGTGGAGCAGACCGTATCATGCATGCCTCCCCCGAAGGGAAGAGTGACACATGTGATTGGCTCTGCTGACGACCCCCTGGGCCACATTGGTGATGGGGTCGTGGCCCGAGTTGCTTTCTCCTGGACCCCGAAGGGCCCTCTGGCTGGGAAAGCTCACTCTTGGAAGCGGTGCGCTCTGTGATCTGCTCTGTAAAGCCAGCTTTCGCCCAGGTGAGCTCCAAGCAGATTTCATGAGAGGGGAGAGGACACACTGGAAGCTTCCACGTGGCCCCCACCTGATGGGGCACCTGTCTAGCCTCTTTGTGGAGCAAACGCTTTGCCTGATCTTGCTTCTGGCTCCTCGTGTGTGGTCTTCCTTGGTAAGGGATCTGGGCCAGCCCCACGGGATCACCCCCACTGGCGTGCTGCCCAGAACCCCTTGATAAGTTGACCCAAGGAAATCCCCTGGGGATGGGAGGGGACAGGGGGTCACGGAGGGCGCCTAAAGGGATAGGCCACCGGCTAGTGCATGCGCTTACCCAGGACCACCGTCTTCCCATCCTGGGAGGGCTCTCCTCAGAGATCATCGAGGGATGGGGCTGTGCGGTGCTCTGGCTGGAGGGTGAGCGCTCTCATCTCGCAGGTGGGGGTGGAGGAGCCTTCGAGACTTTCCAGAACAGTGAGAAATGGCATCCCCACTGGTTAGCCGAGGCAGCCACACATGTTCCAGACGGTTCCTTTGAGTTTGATTTGACTTTGTATCCATGGGTCATTTGAAGCAGGTGTTCTTCCTTCTCTGTGGATTTTTGACTTCTTAATCGATTTGTTGTTTTGCATTTCTGCTGCCCGTTCTCCTGTAATGAAAAAAAAAAATCTTTAAAACATTGTCAAGTCCTACCGGGGGCTGTTGGAGGTCTAAAATTCTAAAATACTTAACACAAGTCCTGAAACCCTTGAACACCCCCCCTGCCGCCCCCCCCCCAGCAGTTCTAGATAGAATCTCCCCCACTGTTACTAGACTCTCCGCGCCCTTGGCAAATCGGACGTGTCAGGCGCTCACCGTGCGCCCGGGGTTGTGCTGTTGTCAGAGAAGGGCAGGTACGTGCCTTGCATCCCTGCCTCCCAGGATCGGGACTGTGGCGGACTAAAGGCTAGTGTGTGTGTGTGTGTGTGTGTGTGTGTGTGCGCGCGCGCGCGCGCGCATTGTTGCCTTTTGCATTTGAGGACCCTGTAGATCTGGCACTTCTGTTACGGACAGGTGCATCTGGGACCTCCTCCCTGCAGCGATGCCCCCTGTCCTAGCGCCCCCTGTGGGTACAGAGCCCACTAGAACTGTAGGACTTCTTCCAGCTGTGGCTGTCACCAGATGCAAGGGTCCCTCGAGCTGTGTGGCTCAGCCTTCCAGATGTATATAGGTCTCTGTCCTCAAAGCAAATTGTAGCGTGACATGTGCTGTACGGGAGTTTCTAGAACAAGAGAGGCCAGCCCTAGTCTCTTCGGTATGTAAGTGCGGGGTATACTTGTGAGCTCAGAAGGCACGTGGGGATACAAGCACAGCATCCTTGAAGACGAAGGGCCTGCCTGTGACCTGTGGACCAGCTCCTCTGAGCTGTCCCCCTACTAGTGGGGAAATAGGGGCTTGTATATTTTAAACATTTCTTACGCATTATATGAAAATACTGCTTTTTTGCTTCCCCATCTACGGAGAGTCACCAGTAATACTTTAGAGTATCTGCTTGTAGGACTTTTTCTAGACATCATGTACCTTTGTAAATACTGGGTTATTTTCATAAAAATGGGACCCTGCTACTTTTTTAAAAAAAAACAGTTGTTATTCAGTCATAGCCCTGCTTATCTTTCTCGGTCATTAAAGAGGACCCTAAAATAGTGTGTTGAATGGACTGCATGATGTTACACCGTAATTTATTTAGCCAGTACCTCTTTTGAGAGGTTTTTCCCTCTGGCTATTTACCGCTCCACACAGTGCCACGATAAACATCCTCATAGCCAGATACACAAAGCCTGTCTAGCTTGTCGGCTAAATTCCTAGATGTTGACTGGCCGGGCCACAGAAGTATAAATTTTTAATGATGCGCCTCTTCAAGGGCCCTGCCAAATGGTGTTCCATTACGGTTGTCCTGGCTTCCCCTCCGACTGCTAGGGAGCAAACAGGTGCCTGTTAGCTTCTGTCCCCACCCTCACTGGGCACTGTAGTTTTGTGATCTTTGTAAATTGACTCAGTTTAAAATGCTCCCCTGTTGACATTGGCATTTCTTTGACTACAAGGGAGGTGGAACACTTTTTACCCCTAGGTCTTATTAGACGCCCTTATCTTGTGGGGTCGAATCACCCGTTCACATTCGTTGCCTGTGATTTTTTCATTTTTTGATTTTTTTTTTTTTTATGCCAGAGTCTGTATCTTTCCTCGTTGACTTGTAAGGGCTCCTTTTACATTAGGGATGATCAAACCGTTTTCAGAAATTCCCAGGACATCGTATTTACCAGTTCCTTGACTGATAGGCCTTTGGGTGGTTTCCACGTTTTGGGCTGCATGAATAACGCCATCCTGTTCCCATTTCATGCGACATTCTTGCAGCTCACGATCGCACAGATTGTATGATCGAGACTGGAGGTGAAAGAAAGGGGAGGTTGGATGGCTCCGGCCTGTCGGGAAATCTGGTGAGGTGAGCGCATCAGCAGCGGACGCCCAGGAGAGGCCTGGCCTTGCCCTTGGCAGTGGCCACGCCGGGCACAGCAGAAGGGTCCACAGTGGGCCAACACGGTCAGACTCCAGGCCCTCACCTGTGACCCTACTGCTGACCTGTTAATGCCTGGAGGACCCTACGGAGGACCCTGTGTTCTCCTGTCTGCTCGGTGCAGCACCGATTGTGCTTTTGAAGAAGGCAGTGCTGCTTGTTGTTTTGTAAATCACCATTCACATCCAATCAGGGATCTTTAACCCAAAGATTCAGCCCTAAGTGGGAACATAACAAACCTTATTTTCTAACCCCCCCCCCCAGTCTTTACAAAATCGACTTGATTTTTCAGAGCAGTTTTAGGTTCACAGCAAAATTATATTCCTGCTCCCCGCAGCCACAGCCTCCCCCATTACCAGCACCCCCCACCCCCGGGGTGTGGGTGTTCGCATCCACGAACACACCATCCCCAGACTCCGGGACGCACGGTGGAGGGGATGCCAGAGGTCGTTGCCTCCCAACATCCCAGAGCGGCCTCCCTCTCTTAATGAGCCCTGTGCCCTGAGGAGCGGGAGCGCTCAAGGCTAATTAATGTCCTGAAATGGCACCAGTTGCTCATCAGGGCGCTGCCTGTCCGGGGAGGTAAGCGTGTGTTGAGCTCACGGGGATGGACACGTGTGGCCACCACCATGGCCCGCGCAAAGACCCGTTCTGTCGCCGCATGGCCTTTCCAGGGCCCCACCGCCTCCCCCCCCCACTGCCCTAATCCCCTCCACCCACTAACCTGCTCCCCTTCCCATGATATTTCAAAGCCTTTTGAATTTCAAAATACCGGATGAGGGATTTTTTTGCTCATGTGCCAAGGTAGAGGTGGACGGCCTTAAAACAGTCCTGGTCGTCCCCTTGTCCCCTCCTCTGGCAGTGTCCCACGGGCTGCACCTGCACCTAAATCGCACCAGCAGAAACATCTGCACTTGAAGAAAAGTCTGCGGGAGGCACTAGGCCCAGGGGCGCGTACATGTTAGTACCAACTGCAGAGCCTCCCTGGGTGGCGGAGCTCCGCGTTGTTTTCGTGCTAGGCGCCCGTCCTTTCGTTAAAAACGAAGTTGAAGCATTTTGTGCCCTCTGCTAAAGAATAAAGGCTTCTTGCAGGAGACTGTGTCCCCGGGACCGCAGGGGGCGGGTGTTCAGGGCGAGGTTGGCCGGCCTGAGCCCAGCTCTGCCACCTGCTGGCAGGTCCCTCCCCGGTGAGCTGGGGCGGCCCGCCTGCTCCGACTGCAAAGACGCCTGCGGGCGAGGAGCTGGGATGTGACCATCACTTTCCAGATCCACAGTTCTGCTTGGCAGGTGACAGGCACGAGAGGGCAGGTCTTGGATGTCCCGGCAGAAGCCCCCTGGGCACTTACTGGGGCTGTGGCAGGGGTGCAACCAGGGGCCCGTGAGCCGGGGAGAGGCTGTCCGCAAGCCGGGGGGTCATGGCTCATGGCCGACCCTGAGTGCTTTTGGCTTTTTTTTTTTCCAGGTGACGGTCGATACGGCAGCGACGACCCCGAATCTGGTGGGTTTGCGTCCCGAGGCCTGCCCGGCATCCCGCCCCTCCCCTGACCGCTCCCGGTAGAGACCGGCCAGGCCAGCCGCACAGGGATGCGGGGACTTAAAAGAATCAAGCGTGCAAATTGGGGTCCCCGGGGGGAGGTGGCCCCCTGGGGAGGCCCGTGGGCCCGAGACCCAGAGAGTGCAGCCGTGTCCACCTTTCAAGCTTCTCGGGGTGGAAATCCTTCTGGAAGGAAACGAGCAGCACTGGGCAAATGCCTCAGCTACTGGCGGCCTCGCGCTTGGGGGGCTTGGGGGGGTCGGGGCGTTTGAGCGGCTCCGGTGGCGCTGCTGGCCCGGTGCCAGGCGTCCTCACGCCCCCCCCGTCTCGCTTGCCCCCCAGGAGTGTCGGCCGAGGCAGGCACCATCGCGGGGGTGGCCAGCGCCCTGGCCATGGCCCTGATCGGCGCCGTCTCCAGCTACATCTCCTACCAGCAGAAGAAGTTCTGCTTCAGCATCCAGCGTAAGTGCGCCCCCCTGCGGCCTGCGAAGTGGGGGGCCGGGCCTCCCCAGGGCGATGGGGCCAGACCAGGAGCACGAGCCGAGTCCGACGTGCGGCCAGACCGACCCGAGTGTAAAGTGGCCGTGTTCCTGCGGGCAGCGTTCGTGTCACTCAGAGCAGGATGGGCCCGGGGCTACCCCCCGCCTCAGGAGCACGGGGCGGGGGTGTCGGGGGCTCCGGGAGCAGCCGGGACGCTGGGGGGCTCTAAGGGCGCGGGAAGGCAAGGGGCCGAATAGGGTGCGGGCCCTGCACCCCTGCCGGGCCGCGCGTGCCAGGGGTGGCTTGCGTGCTAGGCCTCTGAGCGACAAGTCGGGGAGTGACAGAAGCCCATGTCGCCAGCTGCGTGGGGGCGCGGCGAGGGAGAGCAGGGGTTCCCCGGCCCCCCGAGACGGCTGGCCGAGGGGGCGCCTCTCAGAGTGGCGAGCTTCAGCTCAGGTGGGCAGAGTCTCCACCTGGTTCCTCCCCCCGGCGGCCCAGTTTGCTTCTCAGCCTCGGTCGGCGTGCTTGACCAGGGCCGCCACGTACGGGTGCGCAGGTTGTGCAACCACGCGCAGTTCCACGGGCTGCGCCCGGCAGCACCGCAGGGGCAGCGTTCACGTCTCCGTGCGCAACCCGCACCACGGTTCGTGGCCGCCCCGCGTGGGATCCCGTGGACGCACAAGCTTGGCCGTCGAGTGGCGTGGACGGGGAGGTGTCAGGCAGGAGCACGGAACGGGAGGCTGGGTGGTCCTCAGAGCTGTCCCTTGTCCTAGTTCAAAAGCAGAGAAACAGAGTCGCCTAAGATGGCAAAGCTGTTCTCTCAGAGTCCTGGAGGCCGAAGTCCGGGAGGAAGGGATCAGCGGGGCTCGTGCCTTCCAGGGGCTGTGGGGAGCTCCTTCCTGCCTTCTCCAGCTTTTGGTGGCCCCAGGTGTCCCTGGGCTTGTGGCCACAGCACCCCAATCCGTGTGGCCTTCTCCCGTCTCTTCCACGGACGCTTGTGGAGGGCGCACCCTGAATCCAGGGTCATTCATCTTCAGATCCTTAATCTCACTGGCAAAGACCATTTTCCAAACAAGGTTGCGCCTCTGGGTGGCCGGAGGCCGAGGACATGGCCGCGTCTCCAGGGGCCACCAGGGGCCACCATTCGCTGCAGCACCGCATCGTTACCCCGCGGGGGGTGCCAGGTGCCCCATGTGCGCGGGCAGGGCATGGGGACGCGAGGAAGCGCATCGGGTAACGGAGAGACTACTTAAAAGCTGGGCGCTGCGGAGCACTGTATGCGGAGTCCCGCCCGGAGACCCCCGTCAGCCCCAGGGCCGGGGGCGAGGGCACCCTGACTATCGATGGCGAAGGAGGGGCTCAGAGGGCTGTGGAAAGGACTGAGTCCACACGGGGAGCGCCGGGTCCGCAGGGGAGCCCGAGGCCGCACGGGGAGGCAGTGCAGTGAAGGCTCGTGCGGAGCGTGGGATTGGGGGGATCGTAGGATCGAGGGGATCAGGGGATCTGCGGCTCTGGCCACGGGGGGAGGCGCCCCAAGTGCAGCGAAGATGCCTTCTTTCCGCCCTTGTTTTCTCCAACAGCTGCGAGGCTGTGCGGGTGGGACCAGGGGGGACCCGCGGGCCCTGCTGTGCAGAGCGTAAGGGTTGCTGCGGTAGTTGAGGGACAGTCGCGCCAAGAGGGGGTGTTCGGGACACCTGACAGCCACGGCCGGAGCCCCGAGGGGGTGGCTCTGCGGCCTTTCTGAAGGCAGCCCGGAGGTGGCGGCCCAGGCCCGGGAGGCAGGCGTGCCTGCGCGGCCTCTGAGGGCTCCCCCCGACATCCACCCCCCGTCCCCACCATCTGTCCAGGACGTGCCTGTCACCCCGAGCCCACACTGGCCCGAGTCCCTTTCCTGGACGCCCTCGTGCCCACCCTGCCCTCCCCCGAGAGCGCCCCTGCCGACCCGGCCTCCCGGCCCCGCGCTCAAGCCCCCGAGGAGCTGGGGTTGGGACTGGCCACCCCCACCCTGTCTGCCAGGCCTGTGTCCCCAAGCGGCCACAGCCGCCAGCGCGGGGCGGTCACACAAGGCAGAGCAGAAAGCGCACCGGGAAGCGGGGGTGCAGCCGTGAGCTTCGGGGCCCCCCTCTGTCCGGGTCTGTCCCCAGGCACAGAGTCTCTGGGACCGGGGGACAGGGGCAGTGCAGGTGGCGGAAAGCCCCCGGGCTCTGTCGTCCTAAGCTTTGTGTCTTGCCTTCAGATGCAGCAGAAGGTCAAGGTAATGCCGCTTCGACTACGCCTGTCCCTCTCCCGCTCCGGCCGGTCCCCGGGCCCCGCCCCGCCGCCCTCGCTCCTGCCCCCACTGCCCGCCCGACCCCTTCCTGCCCCTCACCCACCGGGCTGTGGCCACACCACCTGCGGCTCGGCCGCTGTCCCTGCAGGGAGGCCGGGGCCGGGGGTCCCGTCTGGGGGTCAGCGCCGGGGAGCAGACGGGGCTCCCGGTCCTCAGGTTCCCCAGGGCTGTCGCACGGACTGCTGAGTGTCCCTGTGTAGGGCGGGCTCCAGTCCCAGTCGCGCCCCCTGGTGAGCCGAGAGCCCAGGTGTCGTCGATGCCCCTGGCAGGGCAGTGGGGACGGAGCCCCTGAACCTGAGCGGAGCGGCTCTGGGGGGACCGGGCCCGTCCCCCGGGTGCTCACGGCCCTCGGCCCTGCTGGCTGGAGGAACCACATGGCCCGAAGGTGCGGACGTTGCAGGGAAGGCCGGACGCTGGCAGGACGCTGGTGGCCCCTCTGCAGCGGACCCCGTGCACCCCCTTCCCGCATGTGCCCCCCCTCCTGCGGCGCTTGGCTCCCTCTGCCCCTCCCGGCCCCCGGGCTGGCCCCGCCACCTGGCCCCGGGGCTCCCACAGCTGGCACCTGCCCTGCGGGGATGCGGGTCAGAGGCCGTTGCCACATCCCTCCCGAGGACAACGTGGGGACATCCCCCCCCCCCCCCCCCCGCGCCGGGTCAGCCACCGACTCTGCTCCTCGCCCCCTGCAGAGGGTCTGAACGCCGACTACGTGAAAGGAGAGAACCTGGAAGCCGTTGTGTGCGAGGAGCCCCAAGGTGAGCCCTTCCCGGCGGCACGGGGTGCGAGTGGGGGGGGGGTGGCCCCGAAGCCTTCCCCGCGGGGAAGTTCAGCCAGAACTGGGCGTGACTGCAGGGACGAGCCGGTTCCCGCTTCCTGACGCCAGGGACGCTGGGGCCACAGCCAGGGCTGCCTGCGGAGTCAGGGACTCGTGCACTGGGGACTCTCGTCCTGGCGGGGGGAGCCCCTGGGCCCAGGCCAACGGAGCTGTCATGGGGGGCGGGGGGCAGCCTTTATTTTTTATTTTTTATTTTTTTTATTTTTTCTTCTTATTTTCTTTTTATTGGAGTTCAATTTGCCAACATACAGCATAATACCCAGTGCTCATCCCGCCAAGTGCCCCCCTCAGTGCCCGTCACCCAGTCACCCCCACCCCCCACTCACCTCCCTTTGGGGGGCAGCCTTTAAAAGACACCTGTGACTTTTCCTTCTGAAGACTGGGGGCACTGCAGGGCCTTGGCTGACCCCGGAGCCCGTGCCCCCCGCACCCCGTGGTCGAGCGCTGAAAGCGGGAGCCATCGAGGGATGGACGGGAGGTGTAAGGTCAGGCCGGGGCGGGGGGCTGTCACTGGAGCCAACGGCAGCTGCGGGGACGGCCCATCACTTAGGACGGGGACCGCGGTGTGTGCCGGTCCTGCACCATCGGGCTCTGTGGCCCCCGGAGGAGAGCCAAGAACAGCCCCTCGGGGCCACTGGCTTCCTAGTTCTGCGGCCCCCCAGCCGCGGCGACCAGGGCGTCCCCACTGGCCACAGGCCCCAGTGTCCCGCCGAGGGCCTGTATTTGCCCCTTCGGCGCCCTGGGGGGACCGTGTCCCCCTTCTAATGCCTGTCTTCTCTCCCCAGTGAAATACTTGACGCTACAGACGCAGACCGCGGAGCCGCCACCCCCCGAGGCGCCCCGGATCTGAGGCCTGCGTCCGCGGCGCCCTGGTGACCAGCTCCTTCGTTCCCGTGGACCCACCACCGCCACTGTCCGCTTCTCTGATGACGCCATCGGCTTCTGATTCTAAGTTTTCCAGACGAACTCGGGGTGTGTGTGAGGCCGGTTTCTGAGCCTGCCCTGCCACGGACGCTCGGGGACGCCGGGCACTGGGGACACCGGGAGGACGGGGGGCAGGAGGACGCTGGTGCTCAGGGGTAAGCCGGAGCCCAGGGTAGCGCAACCCCTGCACGCTGCAATGACGCCCCGTGTCCCTGGCAGTGGCCTCGGGCTGCTGTCGCTGGGGACCCAGCTCACACCTGGGTTGCTGGGAGGCCCTGAGGCCCTGCCAGGAGCATAGCGGGGGGATCAGACAACCACCTACCCACCCCCACACCCCCCCACACCCACACTCTCCCCCTTTCTCCCTCTCCCTTGCTCGCTCGCTCTCACATACGCACACGTGTGTGCGTGCACACACACCACCCAGCTCTTACACCCCTGGGCTTCCAGAGAGCTGGTCCAAGTGGTGGCTTTTCATTTATTTGAGCGCAAACATGCATGTCGTGATAGTCTTGCCCCGGGGCCTTAGGAACCTTCTGGACGAGTAGGCAGCTGTGACTCTTGGGCCTGATCCCCCTCTGGTTCTGTAGGCAGCCGCCGTGATTAGTGTTTAGGAATCAGTGATGCATTGAAACGAGTGTACCCCGTGTACCCCGTGTACGCGCTTTGTTCGGTAGCAAAAGCTAGACGCTGGGCATGAGCAGCAAAGCCAGAAGCACGCGTGGGTTTTGCTTAAAATTGTATTTGAGGGGGGAGGGGCCGCCCGCTGGGATTAGTGGCCCTGGCCTGGCTCGCGGGTCTGGAATGATGGTTGCGTGTGTCCTGTTGGCCGGGGGCCCTCGGGCGCCGCGGGGCTGCAGGGAACGCCAGCACGCAGGGGCTGCCCGTTCACTTACCGGCGCAGTCTGGCCTGGCGCTAGCCTCCTGGAACGTTCCATGTGGCCCACGTTCCTGTCTGGGGGAGCCCTGCTGTCCGAGGCTGAGCTGAGGTCTCGAGCCACCATGTACTGGCATTGGGCTTGCAGCGTCCAGTAGCACCCCCGGAGGCCGGCAGGCAGGGGGGCCCTGTGGCCGGGGCTCCTGGCACCCCCTTGTGCTGCACGGTCCCGTCTGGCTTCCGAGGGAACGTTTGGGGTCAGAGGCGACCCCACAGGTGGCGTGACACATGCCTCGCATGCTGGCGTTTGTTGGCAGCTGCTTTAGAGACCCCGCGGTGCGGGGACTGTCCCCTGCTGCGCGTCCCCAGGCCGTCCCTCGGATGCTGGCCGCCGCCCCGGGGGCCCTCCCCACTGGAGGGCAGCCTCGGTTGTGAGTGTGCAGGTGTGGAGCACCGAGGAGACCCCTCTGCTTGGGGGTGGGGGGTGTCCCTGCCCAGGATGGGGGGGCTCGGGTAGCGGGGGAGGCCTCTCGTGTCCGTGGCCTCTGGCCACCCCGTGCGGAGGGACCCGGGAGCAGGAGGGGGGGCCGGAGGCGTTTCACAGGAAGAAAACGGAGGCAGCACCGCTGAGCGGCGAGTTCCTTCCCTGCCCGCCGCCGGGAAGGTAGGGGGGCCCTGGTCCCCATGGCCCGTGTGTCACGTGGTGTGACCGGGCCCAGCCTGGCGCTGGGGGCCCCCGAGGAGGGGCCCCCCGCCCCCGCACCCCTGGACTGTGATGCGCTTGTGTTTCATTGTGAGCTGTGAGCCGTCTCGCGTTTGCATTAAACGAACTGGAACCGACTGGCGCCTGTGCCCTGATGGCGGGAAGGGGCTTCTTTGGGAAGTGATGCTGGATTCTTCCGGAGGCTGCGCCCCAGCCCCAGCCCCAGGTGTTCCCCCAGAAGCTCGGCGTTCTGGCCCTCGCCGGGGTGCCGATGGTGGGGCGGCAGGGCCCGTCCGGGCATGAGCGGACCTGGTGGCGGGCTCGCAGCCGGACCCCGGGGCCAAGTGGGAGGCGGCGGGCGTGGGGTCGCCTGCATGGGGTGGTGCTTCGGCGCCCTGCCGGTTGCTACTGCAGCAGCACGAGCCCTCCCGCCCAGAGCCGCCCTGGAACTCCCCAGTATCCGCACGGGCAGCCGGGTGCCCGGAGGGGACAGGGGCACGAGGCCCCGAGCAGGAGGCGGGTGACCCGCGGGGGCTCCCCAAGAGGCCGGCATGCGAGCCGTGGACTCGGGGTGGGGGCCCTGGGGCTTGTCGGCGGTCTGCCCCCTTTGCAGCTCGGGGTCCCCGGGCCTGATCGCCCGGCCCTCCCCCACCAGCTTCGGGCAGACGGGCGATCCACGGCTACACGCGCCACATCCCCTTTGGGGCCGAGACACGCATGTGGGGTTCAGCGAAGGACTCGAGTCCTACCTCACACGCGTCACCTGTGGCACGGGAGACCACAGGTGTGGAAGGTGCCGTCATTTTTCCGAGGGAGGAATTGGGAAAACCAAAAAAAAAGTAGACGAGCGCAGAGCAAACATTACTTTAATTACAGATGGCAATACGGCGTATCAGATGAGGCGACTACGCGACTGTTCCAGTCTTTACACACCTGCACCAGGGGCTTAGGTTCCATACACTTTAAATAAACAGAAAGCAACGGGGGTGCTCGGCTAACGGCACAAGGCTTCTAGCTGGGCCGGGTGGGGGCACCCGGGGGAAGGGGGCTTGCACGCGGACGGCCCGACAGACAGCCCGCACGAGGCGACGCGGCCCCGGGAGGAGGACCGCCACCGCCGCTGCCGGCGGGAGGACACCGTGCCAGGTCCCTGGCCCTGTTCCTGTTGCATCGCGGGCAGACCACGTAAGTCGGCGCGAGCTGGGGGTGGAAAGAACCCGTCACCCGGTCCGGTTACGCACACACCTCCTCGGGTGACTAGTTTCCAACATAAAAAAGGACATAGGAAAATAAAGGCATGTTTCTCTTTTTAAAAAATACCTTCTATGTACATGACAGTAACTGGCGCAGGAGGGCCCCGGGCGGGAAGAGGACGGGACACTCGGGGGCCGTGGCGGGGCCAGGGCGGTGAGTGGGCACGACGGACACGGCCGACGAAACGGAAAGCGCTTGATGACGGCGGGAGCGGTCACCTCGCCACGCAGGCGGTCGCTGGTGGGCAGGATCACCCGGCCCACGGCCTGCCCGAGAGCCCTCGGGGGGCGGCCCCGGAGCGCGTCACACGGACGTGTGGACGGGGGTGACCGGGTGGGACGGCGAGGAGCCCCGCTCGGAGGACGACGAGGCGCGTGTGGCCACCTCCCGCTGCAGGTCCTCCACCCGCTTCTGCAGCTCCGCCTTCACGGCCAGCAGCTCCTTGAGGTTCTGGTGAATGGGCATCTGGGGAGAGAGGGACACGGTGAGGCCCCCCGCAGCTCTGCCGACTGGCAGCACCGACACTGTTCCCACCCGTCGCGAGAGGTGCAGGCGGCCACCCCGGTGACGACCCTGCTGGAGGAGGGCGCCTGGGGGGCTGAGCCCCCCCCCCACAAGGCCTCCCCTGGAGCCTGAGGCCCGGAGGGGACTGCCGTGGGCATACGGGACTCCTGGCCTGATGCTGGGTCACAGCATCACCCGCCCTCCCCCGGCCGGCCCAGCCAGCCAGCAGCCGGCTTGTCCCTCACGGGGCTCCCGGGCCAAGGTGAGGCACACTGGGGACGGAGGTCACCACCTGGGGGGTGCTCCTGGCCTCGTGTCCCTGATGCAGTGTGTGCACGGCGGCCGCAGGCCCGGGTCCTGAGCCTCAGCCAGGCTCCCTGGTGCCCAGCCAACAGCCTCCAGGGGCTGCTTTCTGCCGCCCCGACCTTGCCCTCAAAACCCTGGGGTCTGACCCCAGCCTGCCGCTCCTCACCGCTCCCCTGGGGTCCTGCCTCCGCTCCCCTCCTGCATTCCAGAATCTTCTAGGTTTTGAGCCGTTCCATGCATGTGCAGCCCCCTGCCCCCAGGCTCTCCCATCAGGGCTGATCACCCCAGTCCAGGGAGGAGGGAGACGGGTAGGGAGGAGGCAGGCAGATGAAAGTGCAGGGTGCCAGGTCACTAGCAAGGAACAAAGTCCTGACGTCATCAGGCCACAGCAAGAAGGGAAGGGACAACACTGAGGCTGATGCCAAAGACCCCCCCCCCAAAACAAGGGGACGTTCCCTTATTTGCTGCTGATCCCCGAGGCCACCATGAAGTAAGCAGTAGCTCCCCTCCTGGCCTTGTGGCCAATTTGGTGTTAATTCTGTTGGCAGGATCGTTTGATTCCGAGGGAATCACACAAGGGAAGCTTCTGGAGTCAGGTCCCGGACACGGGAAGTCCATGGAGGGAGCACCCAGTGTCACACCCAGGACCTGAGGTGACCCTCAGGGATCTCTGAGCAGCCTTGCCTCAGGTCACTTCCAGTAAATCCAAGGCCCGCTCGGTAGAGAAGTGCCCAGTAGGGAGCCTCCCCCCGTGGGCCGCGGGTCCGCCCGGAGCCAAGAGGGCCCCAAAGGAAACGACGCGGCTCGGCCCCCCTTCCACCCGGCCACCCTCTGACGGAGGCCCAGGGAGGCGCGGAGGCCCAGGGAGGCGTGGAGGCCCAGGGAGGCGCGGTGCAGGCAGCCCACAAGCGCCCTCCTCAGACAGAAGGGGCCAAACAGGCTGGTCCCTGCCTTTCCTCCCTGTCCCACCCGCCTGGCTCCCCATCCTGTTGCAGTGACACCGGCCTAGGTGCCCACTCTGTGCCACCCCCCACCCCCGTCCTTGAACGTACTGCTGCTAACGGGCTGGCCCTGTGCACCGTGTGCCTGCCCAGCCTGCCCTCCACCGACCTGCGGAGCCCCCAAGGCCCAGCCTGCTCCCCCTCCCTGCCAAGGCCCAGCCTGTCCCCCCGCCGAGGCCTGGCCTGCTCCCCCAAGCCCTCCCGCCGGCCCGGTTAGAACAAGAAGTGGAGCCCATGGGCCACCGGGCAGTTCTCCTGTCACGCTGGAGCCACAGCACTCCGTGGGCCTTCACATCATGCTCCGTTCCTGCTCCACGAGGTCTTGACGAGGCCTGGGGACTTGGGCCCCGAGTGCGTGGAGCCACCGCCGGAGAGGGGATGGGACCCCGGCCCATAGGCACCCTGCAGGCCAGCGCACGGCGGCTCGGGGCCTGCCCTCGGTGCGGCCGATGGCTCCTGTAGCACGACGGTCCTGCCCGAGACCTCGACGGAGGCCAGCACGGGCTGCGGCTCCCGCTGCCGTCGCGGTGGCCATGGTCAGCATGGAGCGCCGCAGACAGGACAGGTGGGCAGGGCTTCAGGGCCGGGGCGGTGCTCCCGCGTTCACGGTCCCCGAGCGTAGGGGGAAGCGCTCGAGCCCAGAGCTGCTCTTTGTCCCACAGCAGGGCCCGTGCCAGCTTCCCTGCAAATGTTTCAGAAACCCCCCCGTCTGTCCTCTGTGTCCCCCAGGATCCTATTTGGTGACTCTCTCCATGTGACGGAAATAAAGTGGGTTTCCTGCCCTCTGTCTCTGAGCCTGTCTTCTTGTTGCTACGACACACGACAGAACCGGGCGGGAAGGAAGCAGCGAGCCAAGGGCAGGAGCAGGACACAGGCAGAGGCCGGGAGGGAGAGGCGGACGCACACCTGACTTGTGTTCCTAAGTAAAAGGGACTCCAGTGACTGGAAGGAAGTGCCTAAGGGGTCCCGGGGGCTGGCATTCGAAGAGAAAGCAGCTGAGGTGAAAAAGGAGCATAGTTCTGGAAGCTGCCCTGTAAATCACTGAGCTTTCTGGGCCCGCACGCCCCTGCAAAGGCAGCTCTCCCTCACACGGCTCTCATTTTGGGGGCGATTCCATCTAACAAGCAGCAGTCGTCATGCCAGGGCCTACCCTTGCAGCGTATCGTCTGAGAGAGAGAGAAGTTGTCACCACAGCTCAGAGGGGACGGTGGGGCCGGGGTGTGGAAGGCAGATGAGCTGCAGCCATCAGGTGGCCACGGGAGGCCGGCTCCGGGCCCAGCGGGCCGCTGTATGGCCACCCTCGGCCATGCGACCGGGGAATGATGAGTCATGTGAGGTATGGGTCACTCGGAAGAGGGGAGAGGAAAGGATCTGGGGACCATGCTTGTGAAGAGGCTCTTTGGAGGCCACCGGCAACTGTTGGCTGACCTCGTGGCCTTCTGCAGAGATGCCGCAGAGCTAACAGGATGCGTGCTCATCGGCAGAACATCTGAAATTAGTTCCTAATGGCTCACTGGCCACACACTCAAAAACCCGTATTTCAGACATTAACCACTGACCACAGGACTTGGCCACATGTACATCGTCTTCATGGAGAAAAGAACAGACTGTCTCTCACTTCACGTGTTCTTCAATAAAGAGAATGTCTTACAGCTCTTACAGCTGGCACCGAGTCCACACTCCATCTGGTGGTTAGCACCGTGCTCTGGCTGTCTCGGGACCGAGGTCCCTCACGTCGCAGCGCCCCTGCTGCTCCATGCTCTCATGACATGGGAAGCTGCCACTGGCCCCTTCCGGCGGGCTGGAACCGTGCTAGTGCACCCGGACAGCGGGCGGCGGCTCAGTACAGCCAGTGGAGGGAAGTCTGCCTGCGGAAGGTCTCCTGAAGAAGGTTCTCAGAGCAGCGGCTGCTGGCCCAGTGAGAAGCAGACACCAGGGAAGCATTTCCAGAGGCGAGGGGTCAACAGGCCGCCCCCGGGATACAGGGCCCATCGGACCAGGAGGGAGAGAGGGGAACACGAGGCCTGGGTCTCATACCTGCCCCGAGAGGAAGACAAGTCCTAGGCTGGACTGTTCTGGAAAACAGTCCTGAGGGCTCTGAGGGTGGCAGAGCTGACCTAGAGGCTCTAGAGGGAGAAAGAGCCCTTGTGCCTAAATTTCATGGAACAGAAAGCAGGATCAAAGAGTCAGGGGAGGAGAGGCCAGCGAGGAGCAGCTGGAGCTGTGCTGCTGGGAAAGGGAGCAGGTCAGGGAGGAGAGGCAGGAGTGCAGCGACAGTGGGCACGGTCACAGGGGTCCTGGGGTGACGTCTACAGGGACTGAATTTGCCATCGAGGAGGGAAGGCTAGTGAGGTGATGGTCCCTCCAAAGCTCAAGCACCAGGCAACGGCCAGGTGACATGAACGGCTGGGTCTCCCCCATGGTTAGCGGGGCCTGGGGATCGTCACGGGTAACTGTCCACCCAAAATGCAGACACTGAAGTGCTGAGCCCCAGCACCACAGAGTGCAGCTGGATGTGGAGACAGTTCCTCACACAGGTAATCCGAGTTATGCGGAGGTCATCAGGGTGAGTCCTAGTGCAGTACAACCACTGTCCTCGTGGAGAAGGGGACACTGCACACAGGCTCGCACAGGGAAGGAAGACAACAAGAAGACACTGGAGAAGACGGCTGTCTGCAAGCCATGGGGTGGGGGGAGCCGGGAACAGACTCCTCCCTCAGCCCTCAGGGGGACCCACCCCAGTCAACACCCTGATCTCAAGGCTTCTCATGTCAGGACCATGAGCCCACACATTTCCACTGTGTTGCCCCCACCCCATCCATAGCCCTTGCTTACGGCAGCCCCAGCGTCTGAGACATGAGACATGGCTGTGGAGACAGCAAGGACCCTGCGTGAGAATGGGGCGGGGTGGGAGGGGGGAGCCAAGAGCAGAGGGGCAGGTGCCTGGGCCCAGCAGCAGCCCTGATGTCAGATGAGGCCCCAGAAGCGCACTCCTGGCACCCAAGCCAGTGAACCCAGAAGATGAGAAACTTCAGAGGACCCTTAGTTGAGAGCCCTCTGTCCCCAGGGGCAGGGCCGCCCCTCCACGGGCCCCCTCCGCACCAAGCAGTGACCGTGCCCTCCCATGTGGCAGTGTGCGGGGGGATGCACCTGCGGAACCGCAACCCCGAGCGCAAGCCTGAGCTCAGCCACCCCACGCCCAGGACAGACACCGCCCGGCTGCAGGTCCTGCTGGCCACTGCTCAAGTATTGTTTTCAGTCTCAGAAAACTTGACAGTGAAAGAGAGTGGCGGGGAAGGGCGAGACTCTACCCCTTCTTCGAGGGGGCGTCTGTCTGCGACTCACCATGTGCCCTCTTTCTCCCCGAGCCTATAAACTAACCGAGTCATCGGAAATACTAAGAGTCAAGTGCAGTAACCGGTACTGCTGCTTCTATGTACCTGTAGCACAAGACAGAGAGGCTAAGATTTTAACTCTAAACTAGCCAAAAGAAGCTGCTAGAACATGAACACAAACGATTAAACCCTGAGAAGCAAGGGTGGGAGTAGAGGATGTTAATACTCAGCATGCACGCATTTCTACGCCACCACCTCCGCTTACAAAGATACGTATGCTCTTTTGCAAAGAACAAAAACATACCTGAGGCCTCATTCGCGGGTTCCATCGCACATAATAGTTTACCCAGAGTTCCAAATGACTCAGACTAGCAACGGGATACAAGACGTGGTTTTCATAATTCACAAAGAAAGGATTAGAAAATTCTTCAAGCTGGCTATTGACATATGACCATAGCGATATAGTCTTCGTATATACATCCTGAAAAACAAAAAAGGAATACCCTGAAATACATTCAACTTTTCTTCAGATCCTTGAGACTTTGTATTATGGAGAGAAAAGGACTTGAAGGAAAGGAGATCAAATGCTGAAAGATTACTGACCATTTACTGAGCGCCCCCCCCCCCATCCCTGATGCTATGGCATCACCTCATTCTGGGGATGACATGAAAACATACACTGGTTACTATCCTGAAAAAATGTATTGCTGAGTTAGGTGACATCTGGCGACTGTGTCTGTGTGAGGGCAATCGAGAACGTTGTTTTTTTTTTTTTCTTGATTTTATTTATTTGTGAGAGATGCAGAGATAGAGGCAGAGACACAGGCAGAAGGAAAAGCAGGCTCCCTGCAGGGAGCCCGATACGGAACTCGATCCCAGGACCCCGGGATCATGACCTGAACCAAAGGCAGACGCTCAACCCCTGAGCCACCCAGGTGCCCCAAACGTGAACTTCCTAACACCCACAGGTTGACGGGGCCCATCAATAACAAGTACATTTTTTTAAATTTCCAGTTTGCAGTCTGATTTTGTGACTCTTAACATTAAGGACTGGGGCAGAATTTGCAGAGAAGATTCCTTTCACTGGAGAATCATGGATACCTGGGGGGAAATGTGCCAGGGTGGGCAGGCTGGTGACGCCTCACATCAAGAAGCAGATACATCATCTCCCCACCTCCCGACCTTGGCATACTCGGTTTAGAGACGCTGGAACTATTTGCATTGCTCATGCAAAGGAAAAAACCAAGACCTCCAGACTTGGCAGGGCAGGTCAGGGGCAGACACAGACAAAGCACAGTGACAAAAGTCACAATCAGAAACCAAAGGAATAAAACCAAGACCTCCAGGCTTGGCAGGGCAGGCCAGTGGTAGACATGGACCAAGCACAGTGACAAAAGTCACAATTGGAAAACAGTAAAGCCAGCTGACTTCCTCACAAGCTATCTAGACAGAAAATTCCTTCATGACCTTTTCCTATTTTATTTTATTTTTTTTTCTTTTCCTATTTTATACTTTGGATGTCTAGGAGGAACACCAGCCACGATGCAAGGGACCCTGAAGAGCCGCAGTAATCATCACAGGAGGTGATGGCCTGGAATCGGCAGACTCGTGCCATCAACAACAGAGAAGACAGACTAGGGAAATGGGCCCTCACATATGCAGTCAACTGATTTCCAACTGGGCCACCGAGAGAGTTCGGGGGTGGGGGGAGAGTCTTTGCAACAAACAGCGCGGTGATGACCAGTTAGCCACATGCAAGAGGATGGAGTTGGACCCTTGCCATACGCTGTCCACAAAAAGAACTCAAACCTGGGTCACAGACTGAAATGGAAGGGCTAGGACTACAAAACTCTTAGAAGGAAACACAGGCTCAACTCTTCATGACCTTGGGTTGGGCAAGGGCTTCCTGCGTAAGCAACGAAGGAAAACAAATTGGACTTTGTGAAAATGAAAGGCTTGTGTGTTTCAAATGAGACCGTCAAAAAAGTGAAAAGCCACTTCACAGAATGGGCGACGATTTTTGAGAATCACATATCCGATCAAGGACTTGCGTGTCTCACGAATTTATAAGGGACTCTTATGACTCAATAATAATGACAACCCAACTACAAATGGGCAAAACATCTGAATAAACATTTGTTCACAGAAGATATACATGTGGCCAAGAGGCCCATGAAAACATGCTCCCACTATCATTAGTTACCAGGGAAATGTTCACCCAAACCCACAATGAGATGCCACTGGGCTGGCTAGAATGAAAACAAAACAAACAACAACAACAACAAAAAACACAAGTGTCTGCAAAGACGTGAAGAAAACAGGCCCCTTACACATGGCTGGTGACCCACTCTTGGTAAAATATTGGAACTTCTTTGGAAGCACACTCCGTGGCTCCCCAAAAGGTTAACCACACAGTTACTATACGACTCAGCAACTATACTCCTAGGTATATACCAAGAGAAATGAAAGCATACGCCCACACGAAACCTTGCACATTTGAATGTTCACAGCAGCGGTATCTGTAAGAGCCCAAAGTGGAAACGACCCAGAGGCCCATCTGCCACTGACCAGATAAACGAAATGTGGTCTGCCCGTACAGCGGAGTATTACTCAGCCAGAAGAAAGGAACAAAGTCCGGACGCCTGCTTAGACACGGATGGACCCTGACAACATGATGCTCAGTGAAATAAGCCTGCCACGGGAGGACAAATACTGTTCGACTGCAGTCCTATGGAATGTCCAGAGGAGGTGAATCCAGGGAGACCAAAGGCAGATCCATGGTTGCAGGGGCTGGGGGAGCGAGGGACAGGGAGTGACTGCTCATGGGGATGGGCTTTTGTTTTGGGGTGATGAAAAGTTAATAGGGTTTATGAAATTAGATGGTGATGGTTGCACACTCTGAATCTATTAAAAACCACTAAACCGTATACTCTTAAAAGAGTGAATGGTACTGTAGGAAAATTCAATCTCAAGAGAGCTGATTCTTTTAAAGAGCATATTTTGTCAAAAAAAAAAAAAGACAACCATCAGGGTTTAAATTCTACACGTGGACCTCATCCTTCTGTTGATTTTTTTAAAAAATAGCTTTATTGAGATACAGGTCACATACCGTAAAATTCACTCTATAACTTCTTCTTTTTTTAAAGAGGTTCACAGGGCCCTATCACGCTGGGCCCGTAGGAATGTGGACCTTATCCTGATCACAGTGGAGGCCACAGGGAGGTTTCGAGCAGGGGAGAGGCACGTGAGGGCACTGAATAGAGTTGGGGAAGCTGCCCTGGTTGCTGGAGGTCAGAAATGGAGGGAGTGAAGCTCACTTCCTGGCAGCTGCCCTCCTCCACGAGACAGTGGGGGCTTGAACTAGGCTGCGGGGCAGTGATGTGTGGCCAGATTAAGGAAGAATCTTTTCGGGGCACCCACGTGGCTCAGTCAGGTAAGTGACTCTTGATTTCAGCTCAGATCATGATCTTGGGGTCCTGGGATTGAGCCCCTGTCGGGCTCTATGCTCAGTGGGGAGTCTGCTTGTCCCTCTCCCTCTGCCCCTCTGCCCCTCCCCTCTCCCCTCCCTCTCTATCATAAATAAATAAAATCTTTTTTTTAAATCTCTTCTGGGGATCAGCTATGGCAGCTGGGGTGAGGGGGAGGGAGGAGGCAAAGGTGGCTCCTAGGCATTTGACCTTAGCACCTTGAGGGGCAAGGGTGCGCTTTAGGGAGATGCAAGGGAGCAGAAGAATAGCAAGTAGACCCCAAGATGAGATAGTGACCAAGAGAATAGTTTAGGGCCAGAGGAGGACCCGGGACTGGGTCCAGGCAGGCTCCTGGGTGACTGAAGGGCTAAAGGGAGGAGACTGAGTGGGGTGTGGGCACAGAATGAGGAGGTGATAGCTGTGGGGAAGTGGCAGAGGGAGGTGGGTGCCAGTGACCCACTATTTAATTCTCCAAAATTCTATAATGTTCTATTGTGCTGAGCCTGCAGGTGGTGGCCCTCTTGTCTTAAGTGGAAGACACTCTAAGCTGCCTTTCTGCAATGCCTCCTCACTTTTGTTTATTTCTTTCTTATCAAAATGAGGAAGAAAGGGGCGCCTGGGTGACACAGTCAGATGAGCATCCGGTAAATGGTTGGGCTCAGGTGGTGATCTTGGGGTCATGGGATTGAGCCCTGCATCAGACTCCACACTCAGCACAGAGTCTGCTTGAGGTTGTTCTCTCCCTCTGCCTCCCCAGCTCATTTTCTCTCTCTCTCTCTCTCTCTCTCTCTCTCTCTCTCTCTCTCTCTCTCCAATAAATAAATAAATAAATCTTTAAATAAAAAAGAATTTGAGGGAGAAACAGGCGAAAAAGAACTCTAAGAAGCTGGGCGGCTGCTTCATTATCAGCCTGACAGATAAGGAAGTTTGGCTTGTGCCTAGACGGAAGCTCTGGGCTCCTCTGCAGACTTCGCCTTCCTAGGCCTCCAAGTACCTGTCAGCTCAATGGAATGGAGAGTGAAGAGCAGACTCACATCATTTTGGAGTCGGTGTGGTAGAAAGTATACGAGCCTGGGACTTAGAAGTCCAGGGTCCAGAACTGACCCTCAAGACCTGAGAGACCTCAGAGAGCTGTGCACATGCTGGGTCCCAGCCCCCAGCCCACAGGCAGTAAGGGGCTTGGGTCAGACCACCTGGAAGATGAGACACGTGCGCTGGTGCTGCCGAGTGCTGGAAGGGCACCTGGGCAATGCCTCCATCTACAGATGGCAGCAGGGCTAGACCCAAGTCCCCCACCACCCAGCACCCCTTGTGCAGTGGGTTGTAGCAGGAAAGGCTCCTGAGCCATCAGGAGAGCAACACACAAGATGGAATCCACTTACCTCTTTGAATCGCTGCTGTTCACAGTTGCACAAAAACGTCCCAAAGAGACAGCTATAGAGGTGATCCAAAATCGTGATCAAGAATAGCTCGTTAAACTCAAAGGCTGAAGGAAACTTAAATGGAGAGAGAAGTAAGGTTTAAAGTTCCGTCTCTAAAACACAGTGGTACCAATTTTCTATGAAAGACAGCTAAAGTACAGCTTGGAATACAGGCAGAGATTACAAGGGAAACTGAGCCCGTGTAGCATTGAACTTGCTATGGTTTCAAGTCCAAGCTTACAGAGAGCTGGCTGAGGAGGCACCTGCAGGAACAACAACTGCTGCGCTTCCTGATGCCCAAGAGGCATCATGTAGCTTCCATGTCTTTGTCGTGCTGGTAGAATGCAGCCCACGGTCACCCTTCTGCCAGAAGCTACTAGAAAGCTGGACAAAATACATGGAACAGCTGGTTCCAGACTCTGGCAACAGGCAGCATGAGGCTATGACAGGCCCCCGGCCCAGTAGGGAGACTGAGGAAGCAGGTCCAGCTTTTGTCCCGGCTTTCTGCCCGGACATACGTTTGGAGTCACAGAGAAGGGACAGGGCTCCCCAGCACAGTGCGTACCAAAAGTGACTCAAGAAAAAACGGCAAGTCTGTTGTCCAGTTAAGAAACAACTCATAATTAAAAACCTTCCCACAGAGAAAGCTCCACAAACATACGTCCCCAAGCTCTTAGCAGCGTCTAAACAAATTGACCCTGGCAACGTGTACAAAGTGTGACGCAACATGGCCCACTGGGGTTTAGCTCGGGAATGCAAGGCTGGATTAACATCTGAAGATCAACGTTGAAAAAACTTAATAATTACTGTAATTCACCACATTAACAGAATAAAAAAAAGTCATATGATCATCTCAGTTATTGTTTTAGGTCATTCTTAATGGGTTTTTGCAGAATTCAAACAAAGACTTTACCATTGCCAGGAGGCTCTAGCCAGAAGCTGGCATTTAGTGGCCGTGAGGAGATGGTCTGGAAATGATAATAATGATTAATGATGACAACGATGCTCCTGGCAGCAGGCACGGATGGGGTGCCTACCACGTGCCAGGAAACACAGTGGGGTACTGCAGGCGGCACAGCCGATTCAAACCAAACCAAAGCAGACCACCAGATAATTTTTATTTCAATCAGTTTCCTTTAAAGTACTGAGCTGTTCCCCAAGCAGAGCGCTGCCTGCACACTCACATGACTAATCCTGCCACCTCGAGAGAGACACCCAGGGTCACCGATGCCCATATTACTTTCCCAGGCTAGGGACGAGCTTCCCGGTGAGAAATAATCATCAGTCCAGGACTGTCCAAGCTCCGCCTGTGCTTTTCCTCGCCAGGCTGCTTTTCATATTAGCCAACCTACAGATGTCTGCACAGCTACCCTGGATTCAGAGGTGCCGCCTCGCTCCGCCTTAAGGACTGTTCCCAGAGAAACACACAACTCTCTTCTGAGGAGCCTGCTCAGGATTCCACTTCGTCAGAAACCTCTGGAAACTCGCTGTGGTGGTGGTTCTTACCTGCATTCTTGTTCTTAGATAGACTAAATCTGGCTGAAATGCTGGAGATAACTACTGATGAATCCCCCTCAGAGCCTTTAACTTGCAATTCCACCGATGGCCTCACATTCCAAATGGTCACCCTTTGAAACACCAAGTACAACACGTCCACTTTTCCCAGCATTTTTCTACGCGGTTTAGTTACGCTCTATTTATGCATCATTGGCACCATGAAATTTATGACTGATAAGCAAATATATAACGTTTATGTACATTGAGGCTTTATTAAATCAAGGATAGAAATGGAAGACCTAAACTTTATTTTCATTTAAATTATACATTTATTCACAGGACCGCAAAGCTTCTATGGACACATTTTTGCAATCAAGTGAATCTTTATCCCTAATCCTGAGCCTTCATTCTGGACCTGGGAGCTTGGTTGGGCATGTTCTAGCACCTCTGACTACAAGCCTTATTCTGGCCAAGTGGGTCCCAGGGCTGGTAGGTCTAGGCTGGGCGGGACTCAGCCTACACCTGTCAGCACCCCCAGAACTGGGACACAAGAGCTGGATCTACTGGTGCTCCGTCAGGACTGCTCTTCACATCCAAATGGTGCTGTGGCCTCGTGCTCAGCTCAGGAAACATTTCATCAGAGGAAGTGCCAGCAATTAGAGTAATAAAAATAAAATATTAAGTCTTACGATTCGTAATTTGTTTTGGCCTCTTCTCCTGGAAACTATACCATATGCCTAAAAAAGATGTGCTCAAAAAGTCCATAGGAATCCACAATGAAATTCTGCACCTCTTCCATGGAACAAAAACATGAACCACTATTAAACCCATTCAAAAGGGCAGAAAGCCTATTAAACTATGGTTATTGTAGAATGTTTGTGACTCTTCTCTGAAGAGCCCCTCAATTACTTTTGCCTTAGATCCTTTTATATCAATTTGTGCATGCAGGCTAGTTAATTTTATCCCGAGATTTCTAACAATTTCATGCGGATTTAGCTTGCTTGATTTAGCAGTAGGCAACCTCCAAATAAATTAATCTTATTACATTAATGCATCTTTCCTAACAAGCTACATGTCTCATCCACTTGTTACTTAACTGATAGACTGAGCAGTGATATTTCTGCTTCTATTGCATTAACAATGTTGTTTTAAGAAACATTAATTATACACATTTCACAGACAGGATCTTAGAGCTGAGAGGCATCTAAAATCTAATCTAAACCCCTTGTTTTGTTTCTTAAAATCCAATAAACAGCACAAAAATGATCTAGATTAGACATGAAAACAGGCACTAAATGGTATGAAGCATGGAAGGCAGTTTGAGGATATTATATACGCACGTGCGCACACACATTTGGCATTCAGGAGGAAGCAACTTTACGTCCACAAAAGTGGTACTTATCCCCTCAGAAGCATCCTTTGTGCTCAGCCTTGTTACACAATTTTTTGTTTTGACCTAAATGTAACCATCATTTAATTTTGTTATTGGCTCAACGAATACAAACAGAAAGAAGTTCATGGGGCTAGAAAACAGTAAGACCTCGGGCCAGCCTCTGTGCTTTCTAAGTACATATTCACTGTCACCTGCCATGCATCCCACCACTGCCTACTTCTGAGATCACCCCTCCAAGTGGCTGCTCTGAATCAGCTGGGACCTGGCACTCAGATAATACAAGAGCCCCATCAGTTTGGGGAAGCTGGACCGAAAAGTAACAGTGAGTCCTGAGTGCGGGACTGAGGACTTTGGGAGGTCTCCTCTGGCTGATTATAACCCCTCCCCTCTTTGCTTTCCTATTTCTGAAAGTATGCCCGCTCTCGCTAGATCCTTGCTAGTGAGATCCATGAGAAATGCAGACTCACAGGCTTGGGGTCCCAGATTCACAAATCAGAATCTGCATTGTAATAATATCCCCACATCCAGTGCCACCTTCCCTCCAGCGTCAGCAGGAGGGTGGGCCTGACAATTGTCATCTCTAAGTCCCCAGGGGAAGCTGAGTCTACTGGCCTCAGGACTGCAGTAGGACAGAGCCCGTGTCTAGATGATGGTCTCCTGCCTCACTGGCACCTCAGAACCACATGGGGAACATTCCAGAACTACACACATCTGGGCTTCTCACTAGGCCCACAGGAGGAAGGGTCCACGAGGGCGAGGCCCAAGCATGTGCGTCCTTAAAAGTCTCCAGGTGCTGCCAGTGTGCACTCGGGTAGACAGTGAGGCTGGGGTCACCTCCCCACCCCAGATCCCTCCCCAAGCCAATGGCTCATGAGGAATTGCTGCTGGAAGGGGTCCAACCTGAGGTGGAGCAGGGCAGCAACGGCACCATGGTGGTGCTCGAGCTCTCTCCTGCCCCCAACACATACCCCCACTGGTCACAGTGGCACACAGGGAGGAGTTTCAAACAATGGTCTATCAGACTTACGAGCCTCGGGGGTGGGGGGAGATGTCCTCTGAAACAGCCCTGTGGTGATGGTAATAACGTGGCAGGAGGGTGGAGTCACTAGAGGTCGCCAGCACTCCGTCCGTCTGGTCCTCTTCACATGACTAAGGCAGCCTTGGCCAGGCCTCAAAGCCAAGAGGAAGGAGAGCACCCAGGCCACAGCTCTGTGACCTCTGACCATGTCCCCATCCCCGCACAGGCACTGAGGAGACTGCCCGTCCTCTACTCTCTCGGTCTAGGTCTCTCTGTCTGTGTCCCTCTGTCTCTCTGCCTGCATGGGTCTCTGCGTGTGCGTCTCTTGACGTGCTCTTCGGCTCCATCTCCTAGCATAAGCGGAAGACCCCAAACTTGGGCTCAAATGTTAGAGACTAGGGAATACACAGCACCTGCTCAGGGCCTGCTCTGAACTGAAGCCATGGGGGGCCCAACCAGCTTAGGGAAAGGGATCCCTGCAGGGCCGCCTGACTTACTAGGGCTCCGCGCGTTACAGTTTGGAAACGAAGCACCAGCGCCTTCCTATCCAACTCCGGTTCCTGGACGCTCCCTTCCCTCAGTGACCTTGCTGCAGGGGCGCCGTGGGGGCCCAGGGCACGTGCACAGATGCCTGGGTTCGGGTCTGACACCCTCCCATCTGACACTTCACTTACATCCCTGTTTCTCACACTTGGCCCTGCTCAGCAGGGGGCTGTGCCTCCTTCCCCGGTGGAAAGGGAGCAGGAGCAGGGGCCTTGGTCTGCAAAGCTGGCAGACAGGATGAGTGACAAGAGCATTTGCACGAGAATAGGAACTTTTGGTGAGAAACTGATAGTCCCTAATTTTCTTCTTATACTTCTAAACAAGTTCGAATCAAACCGAGTTAAATAACAGAAGGGGGTCATATTTTTACACACCTACATACATCTTCATTTTGAACGAACATGCATGTTTATCTAATCTTCAACTTTCAGGTCAGAAATATACTTGAAATTTCTCACCTGTCTTGTCATTTGCCAAACACAATCAATAAACTGAAGAAATATAGGGGATCGGTCAGCATCTGCGTGGTTGTCATTGCCATGGCCCACTCTCTGAAAACAAACAAGAGGTTCAGCTTGTGAACATGAGCCACAGCCCTCTGAAAAGTCGCTTAAAATTGCCTCACGGTAGGCATCAGGTCTCATGTGTATTTCCCAAGACCTAACAGAATTCTTGGCACAGAATAGGCACTAAAAAATGTTCACTGAATTGAACCGACTTCCATTGCTTAAGAGCATTTTGTTTTTGGAAACAAAATTTCACTGTATTGTATTTTTTATGTGTTGACTTTTTTTTAATGATTTCACTTTAATATAGTTGAGGTCAAGAAGTTAGGAACAAATGGCCAGTAAACTTTTCACTCCCAGTGATGGGGTCAAGCCTGGCCACCACACCAAGTGCCGTGTCAACGTGGAACTACCAATTAGCAGCTCAGAAAGCACATTATGATGGCCATTTCCTTCCCAAGTACAAAAACAGGTTTTCCCACTTATCACAAATGTCAAGAAGTCTGAGAATCAAATAATAATCTACACATTTGAACCAATTTTACAGGACACAGAGAACCCCCCACCCCCAATACACATGAAATGATAATGGGGAGTCCTTGCTCAACGCAGCCCAGTATTGTGTGCTTCTGCAGTTCTGAGAAATACTTGACATCTAGTAGTGTGTTTCACACCTTTCGGTATTTTAGAACATACTCACAGATTCCTGGTAAAAGTTAAAAGAATTCCTAACACAAAAAGGATGAAACGTTGAAAATGTCAAGTTAAAAAAAACAGCTCAGGAGCGAGCCTTCTAAGAGAAGGCTCAAATACTCTGATGACTAAGCAGCAGGATGAGAAAGAAAAAAACATTACAAAGATACAATGCAACCACCTCGCAGAAAGTGCGAGAAATACTAGGCCTATGAAATGGCCAGCAGGAGAGACATAAAAACAAGGAAATCCATGCCCGGCAGCTACGGTAGGTGATCTTATTTCTCTTATTGGTCTTTTTTTAAATTTTTATTTATTTATGATAGTCACAGAGAGAGAGAGAGAGAGAGAGAGAGAGAGAGAGAGAGAGAGGCAGAGACACAGGCAGAGGGAGAAGCAGGCTCATGCACCGGGAGCCCGACGTGGGATTCGATCCCGGGTCTCCAGGATTGCGCCCTGGGCCAAAGGCAGGCGCTAAACCACTGCGCCACCCAGGGATCCCTCTTATTGGTCTTTAATTGTGGTGAAACAACAGACCATCAACAGGACCACCTTCACCATTTTAAGCATGCGGCCCAGTGGCATTAAGCACGTTCACACTACTGTGCGGCCAACCCCAGCAGCCATCTCTGGAACATTTCCATCTTTCCAATCTGAAACTCTTCTCCATGAACACCACCTCCCCCGCCTCCCCATGCCCACCATTGTGGTCTCTGGCCCTACGAATGTTAACTGCTTTCGATACCTCTCATGAGTGGATTCCTACAGCATCTGTCCTTTTGTGGCGGACTGCTCTCACATAGCAGAATGTCCTCGAGGTTCATCTATGCTGTAGAATGTGTCAGAAATTCCTTCCCTTGTTAAGCTGAATGACACTTACATCGTGTGGATAGACCTCATTCTGTTTATCCATTCATCTGTAGATGGCCACTGGGGTTGCTTCTACCTTGGGGCTACTGTGAATCACGCTGCTAGAAACATGGGGGTGCGAATATCCAAGTCTCTGTTTTCACTTCATTTGGGTCTATATGCAGAAGCAGAATTGCTGGATCATATGGTAGTTCTATTTTTAATTTTTTGAGGAACTGCCATACTGTTTTCCATAGCAGCTGCATAAGCTGCCTTATTTCTGCACTTCCCCTTTACAAAAAAAATTTGTAGAACCTGCTCTTCAGTATTTAAAGCACCTTGGGGACAGTTTTGCACAACCACTCGCAATTTAAGATTCATTCTTTTAATAGCCATTCACTGAATTCCCGTGGTGTATGCAAGGCATCTTGCCTGGCCCTTGGAGTTTCAGGAGATGTTTCGTGGTGTCCCATAGAGGCCGCGCTCTTGGCTACACATCTGAGGTACCAAGACAAATGAGACACGGTACCTGCACTACACAAATAATGCACTCAGCAGTCTAGTCATGGGAAAAAGACCTGGATGTGCCCAGGGCTTCCAAGACCAGGATGGGTATGGTGGGGCCATGAAGGAGCAAGTGGCCAACCTAGGATGGGATACAGGAGGGAACAGTGAAGGCAAGTCACATGAGTCAGTCATTGAGGAGGTCTCATTTGAGATAAATGCTAAAGGACAGAGGGAGGTGCCTGCCCCCTAGCCAGCCAGGGACGGGCTGTTGTAGAAGCAGTGGGAACACAGTAGGCACACCAGAAACACCACAGGTAGCTGGGCACATAAGGCAAGGGGATGGAGGTGAGACAAGGCTGGAAACGTGGATTGGGCCAGATCACCAAGGGCCTCAAATGTTGAGCTGAGGAGTTTGCCCACAGTCCCATAGGCCATGGGAAGGCTCAGAGAGATTTGCTCTGGGGAATGGCAGTATGAGATCAGCTTCCTGGAACTCTCCATCTGGCCGCAGCATGGACAATGGATCTGAAGTGGACAGGTGATGGAGAAACTAGTTAGGAGGCTGCCTAACACAGCATCAGGGAGATCGGTGGGCAGGTCAGAGTGAAGGGGACACCAGTGACACTGAGGAAGAGACAACAGATTAGAAATATGTGTATTAAAATATGTGAGACCGGTGGAGATCACTGAGGTATTAAGCAAACAGAGAAAAGAGGGACAACCTGAGGACCCCAACACTAAGAAGTTGGGGAGAGAGGGAGGACCAGAAGATAGGAGAAATTCAAAAGTCTATAGAAACCTGGAAGCCAAAGGAGGAAATGGTCTCCAGAAATAGGGAAGAAGCAACAGCATCAGGCGCTCAGGACAAATAAGAGAAGGGCTTGGCAAAGTGGCAGGGATTGGTGGCTGTGACGTGTAGTTTTGGGGTGGGGTGGGTGCTCGGAGGAGGAAGTGAGTAAAAGACAACCATTATCGTAAAGAGGGCAGCTCTCTGTGGTGACAGCGGGAGGGAAAGTAGGGTCAAGAGGGTCGGTTTCCAGGGTGGGATAAATAACGGCATGTTTGGACACTGGTGGGACCATCTAGGCAAGAGGGGAGATGGAGGCAGGCCAGAGGCAGAAACGGTCAGAGGGTGGTCGGGGAGGCGGATGATGGAACAGGGGCAAGGGCAGAAGATGGCGTCAGGGAGGAGCTTAGATGGCTCACGGACAGAAATTCAAGGGAGGGGGAGAGCACAGAGAGGCCTGAAAGTACGGTCTGCTGCTGGCTCCACCCTCAGGGGCTGGCTGAGCTTGGCCAGGTAAGTCGGACTCCTGAAATCTGTTTCCCACCACATGCCAGCTCCATCAGCGGCTTCAGGGTCTTCCAGGACTAAACCAGATGATACGTAACAGTGCTGGATGTGGATACACAGTGGTGCTCCGTAAACTGCACCCATTGAGAACCTGAGGACCTCATGGCCATTACGACTCCCAGCATCAGCATGTAAGGATGGCAGTGGAGTGTGGACACCTTGGCATCTCAGCAGATAGCTTTTAGCACTGCCTTATAGGCAAGGGCCCCTCGTGGCGTCCTCTCTCCCAGGACACACAGCATGGGGAGGAGAGGTGGCAAGGAATGACCTGGGAGCCTTGGGAGATGGCCACATACGAACGCTGGAGCAAAGTCCCCTCTCTCCGCCTCTCCCCAGACCGAAGAAACAAAGGAGTTCATGGTACTGTCAAAAGTAACAACTGGAGCCAGCCCAGACCAGGCCCTGTCCTGAGCATCTGACATGCACAACTCACCTCTGCTGCACCACGCTCCACCTCAGAGAAGGTGCCAGAGTGCAGCTGAGGCTCCAACAGCAGCCCTCGAAGGGCACATGGCTCACAGGTTCTGGAGCTGCCTTTCCTTCTCCTCATGGCCAGTGTACCTGGTCCACCCCCATGATGGCAGCCACCAAACCCCTCCTGCCCCTACCCCCACTGCCTATGAGGGGGCCTGAATGAGGCTTCGGGAGTATTCTGGTGCCATGCACAGTTAAGATGAATCCCCGACAGCTCAATGACCAGGAAAGCCACTTAGATTAAAACACACATGGCAGCTCAAGAAGACCTAGCCAATGACCCAGCAATCCCCCTCCTAGGAATGTACCCAAGCGTGAAAGCAGGCTGGTGCAGGCTGAATTGGATACAGCCCCAATTCCTACACTGGAGCCCTAACCCCCAGGACCTCAGGATGGGACTGTATTTGGACACAGGGTCTGTAAAGAGGTGATTAAAAGGAGGAAAGAAGGATGGGAGGTGGGGCCCCAATCCAGTCTGACTGGTGTTGTTTTAAGGAGAGGAAGTTGGGACACACAAAGAGAGACACCAAGGAGATGCACGCAGAGGAAAGGCCAGGTGAGCACACAGTGAGAAGGCGGCCACACACAAGCCGAGAAGACAGGGCTCAGGAGAAACCGACCCTGCCAGCACTTGGATCTTGGACTTCTAGCCTCCAGAACTGGGAGAAAATATATTTCTGTTGTTTAAGCTACTCGGTTTGTGGTACTTTGCATGGCAAAAACTTGTACACCAATGTTCACAGCAGCATAATTCACAAGAGCCAGCTGGCCAGAAAAATCCAGTGTCTGTCAACATAAATGGATAAACAAAGGGAATACTAGCCAGGTATGAAAAGGAATTAAGTTTTTGTATATGCTATAATATGGATAAACCTTAAAAACAATGTGTTTAGTGACATAAGCCAGTCACAGAAACACAAATATGTGATTCCACTCACAGGAGGCACCTAGAACAGGCAAATTGAGAAAGACAGAAAGCAGGTTTTGTCAGGGACTGGGGGAGGGGGACATGAGGAGGGACCACTTAATGGGTATAGAGTTTCCTTTTGGAGGTGAAGAAATGTTCTGGAACTAGATAGAACTGGTGGTTGCACAACACTGTGAGTGTACTAAATGCCACTGAACTATATGCCTTAAGATGACTAATTCTGTTATATGAATTTTACCTCATTTTTTTTAAAGAGAGATACCTATGCTAAAAAAATTTATTTTTTAGAAATATTTTATTTTTTTAATATATATTTTTTTATTGGTGTACAATTTGTCAACATGCAGAATAACACCCAGTGCTCATCCCATCAAGTGCCCCCCTCAGTGCCCGCCACTCAGTCACCCCCACCCCACCCCCGCCCACCTCCCCTTCCACCACCCCTAGTTCGTTTCCCAGAGTCAGGAGTCTTCCATGTTCTGTCTCCCTTTCTGATATTTCCCACTTAAAACAGAGTGCCCTACCAAAAACATACCATGCTGAGGTCCATGGTATTTGATTATGATGACTCAGATCTGATACAGAGCAGAAAGCCCACACGGGTGTGTGTGTGTATGTTTTGTGTGTTGCATGTGATACACACACGCACAGGATAGAACAGTCAAGCATGTACGTCACAGTCTCAGCTTACCAGTGCAAACCTATGTCCGAAGCTTATCCATTCCTTTTCTATGAGAGCCTCGAACCCTTTAATGGTGCGGTAGTAACTGTCCAACATCAGCATAGCCAGAGCCGTCAGCTGGGCTGTTCGATCCCAACCGTCGCTGCAGTGCACCACCACCGAAGTCTTCCCAGATTCTATCTTATCAGCGATCCTTACTGCCCCAGCAAGAAGCGTCTTCAGAAAAGAAGGCATATTAGAGTAGGCTACATCGGATTTCTAGGACAGCAAAAATAATTCTTTGGAGAACCTCAGAAGTTCAGGTGAACAAAGCCAACACTGCAATCAACTGAGGGTCATTGGGAAACGTGAGCCCTGGGGGTGCGGGAGGCCCTTACCCTAAGAAACATGACGACAACAAATACAGTCCTTGTTATGGGGCCGCAAAGTACTTTACAGACCTTATCTGAGGCAAGCGGCATCCCTTTGTGTTAGGTCACAAAAGCCCTCCACAAAGACCAGGGTCTGGACACTGCCCGTGGCGACGATGCAAGCCTAGTACGCTGCAAAGAGGTGCTGCTTGACATTGTTGAGAAACCACGAGGACACACAGATTTGTGGTGGACACATGGAAAAATCCTAACAAGAAGGCATGTAAAGGACCAGGCCTCTTTACCCTGATGTACTCCAGCCAGTGCGTCCCATCCACGTTGGAGAGCCAGCGCGCCTCATCAACAGAAGGGTACGCGATCTCTTTCAGTTTACGCAGGGACTCTCTCATCACGTGGATATTGTGGATCTCCAAGAACACGAGCTCCGCGTTGGGGTAAGCGCTTTCACTTTCGTACCCTCCACCCTTGGCCTGTGAAAAACAGAGGACATGCAGAACTGCGTGTGAGTTCACACTTCTGCTGTCTCTAGCGTTATCAGGAGGAGACCATTAAGGAAGCAACAAGCCCATCCATCTATAATAAACCTCCTGAGCCGTGGAGGACTCGCCCCCGTCTGCTGGAACAGAGCACCCACACACTCAGAGCGGCTCAAAACAACAGACGTATCTTCTCACAGCTCTGGAGCCAAAATCATGGTCTTGGCAAGGCCGCGCTCCCTCAGAAGCCTCTGGGGAGGATTCTTCTTTGCTTCTTCCAGCTGCTGGTAGCCCCGGGTGTTTCTGGTCTCCAGACACATCACTCCGGTCTCTGCCTCAGCATCACATGGCCTTCACCTCGTGTTTGTCTCTTCTCTTCTTCTAAGGACCCTAGTCAGACTGGATTACGGTGCCCCCTAATCCAATAGGACCTCATCTTAACTTCATTACATTTATAAAGACCTTATTTCACAATGAGGCCACATTCACAGGTACTGGGAGTTAGGCCTTTGGCATTTTTTTTTTTATGGAGACACAATTCAACCCATAACAACTGTCCAGCACCCATCCGTCATCAGTTTGTAAGCCATTAGCAACTGGATCTTACTCAAGGTTCTGTCTGGTAGTGCCATCTGTCTGAACAGAAAAAGTTGTACTATCACAAAATTTCTGTCTAATCAAACAATTTGTAAATCCCAAAGAGGTTTAAGCCATTTAAGTAAAATAAAATACAAATGGAACAAAACCAAAAGGGGATATGGCTCACTCATTGGTAATCTCATAACAGTCTGGTCTATAATTAATTTCTATTTTGTGACGGTCAACATTCAGAACCCATCGGTGATGAGAATGTAGCCAAACTGAACCCCGGATACGTTGCTGGTGGGAACTCACACCGTGCAGTCTCTGCGGGAAATAGTCTGGGGGCTCCTCAGGTTAAGCACAGAATTATGTGACCCAGCAATTGCACGCCCACCGCATTGAAGATGGTACTCGAATAAAAACTTGTACATGCAAGATCACAGCAGCAGTATTCACCATAGCCAAAAAGTAGAGGTGACCCACTTGCCCACTGGTGGCTGAAGGACAACCAAAATGTGCTCTCTCCATACGATGGAGCATTATGCAGCCATGCAAAGGAAGGAAGTGCTCGTATTTGCTATAACACCAACGAACCTTAAAAACATCACACTGAGTGAAAGCATCCAGGCCCCAGAGACCACGTGTTGCATGATTCCATTTCTAGGAAAGGTCCGGAGCAAGGAAATCTATACAGATGGAAAGTAGATTAGTGGTTGATAGAGGCTGGGGGAGGGGAGAACAAGCAGCAACTGCCCATGGGCACAGGGTTTCTACTCAGGGCTCTGAGAGCATTCTCGAGTTAGAGGGGATCGTTGCACAACATTGTGAACATACCAGAAAGCCACTGAATCCTAAACTCTAGGTCGGTAAAATAGCTGGGTTAATGTTACACAAACTTTATCTCCCAAAACATAATAAATGCATCTGTGAATCCAAAGACCACATTCTTCATTTAGCATCTAGCCACTTAGCGAGTGAGCTAGATGCTAGGGTGACAAGTGGAGATGCTGGTCCTCAAGGGTGAGGAGAGGCACATGTGCAGCATGGGGGGGACGAGTCCTGTGCTATAGGAGAGCACAGGGCGTGCAGGGTGCCTACCGCCAGGCCCGGGAGGCTGCCAGGCGGACAGAAGAGATGTCGGTACTGAGAAGAGAACACAAGTCAGGAAAGCTTGTGGGGAGGAGGGTCAAGAACACAGGGCGTGGGGGCCAAGGTGTGCAGACGCCCAGAGATGGGCGAGGAGGTGGATTCCTGAGAGGCATGAGAGAAGTTCAGTCGAGAACACCGTGGCACCAGTGAGAGCAGTGAGAGAGGAGGCCAGAGGGCAGCCCGGGGCTGGACGGCACAGGCCAGGGCAGGTGGCCAGACTGCAGACGCGTGTGAGGCGGGCACCATCAGCCTTGCACAGTGGAATCACCACTGGTGGCAGCAGGCAGAAGGGCGTGCAGGAGGGTGGGACCTCCTGCAGGTAGGCCAGCTCAGAGATGGGTGCTCACCTGGCTGAGGGCCTCGGGCTGGAGGCAGCAGGGCAGAGAGATGCCGCAGACTGGAGGGATTCAAGAGGCGAGACACAGTGGCTGATTGGGGCAATGGACGCAGGTAGCACGTGAGGATACAGGGATGCCCGGAATTCCAGGCTGGGCGCCCCAGGAGTCAGTGCCATCATGTCCTGACACAGAGATTCATAGAGAAGGAACAGAGTACTCTGCTTTCCGTGTGGTGAGCACAGTAAGTGGAAAGGTGTGCCAGCAGTGGGTCTGGAGCTCAGAAGACAGGTCTAAGCTGTGGCTATTAATGCAAAGTCACTGGCCTACGGAGGGTATCGGAGGACACAGGTCCGCATACACAGGTCCAGCTTGTGAGTTCACAGAAAAGTGTAGGCTGGAAGCTTGAAAGCGTGTAAAGTGAGAGAGAAGAACTGCCAGAGACTGGAGAAAGAAGAAAAAACAAGGAAAAGAGTATTCTGAAAAGGAACAGGTACTGAACTGCCGAACTCTTGAGAAGTCAAGGGGAAAAAAAACAAAAACTGAAAACTACACCCTGGATTTTGTGACAAGAAGGTACTTGGTGGGATGCCTGGGTGGCTCAGCAGTTGGGCATCTGCCCTCGGCTCAGGGTATGATTCTGCAGTCCTGGGATCCAGTCCTGCATCGGGCTCCCTGCGTGGAGCCTGCTTTCCCTCTGCCTGTGTCTTTGCCTCTCTGTGTGTCTCTCATGAATAAATACATAAAATCTTTTAAAAAAAGAAGGTACTTGGTGACTGTACCAAGAATGTTCTAGGCAGAGATGGGGACAGGAGCTGGTCCCACATGGCACAGGAGGTGAGTGAGTGGTGGTGAGCACCACGGTATATCGGGGTGGGAACTCCTCCAGGAAGTTCACCTGTAAAGGGCAGAACACTGGCACCAACTGGTAGGGGACAGTGACAGTGGCTGAAAGGATCGCTTATCTGTGCAGGTGGAGAAAATCACACGGCGGAGTCAGCAGAGGACAGAGAGGAGGCCACTCCACCACGGGAACAGGAGGCTTCCATGGACAGCAGGACAAGGTAGCTTCCAGCATTGGTGGCAGGTAGGGTGGTCTGTCCTCTGTGCTCAAAGGCCAGGTCAGCTGCTGAGGATGAAGGCAGCGGGGCAGGCTCAAACATTAGAAAACAGTCATAAAAAGGCTGAAGTGGCCTCTGCAGATACTGGGGATTGGGGGGAGGGACTTCTAAGCATCACCAAGGGCCCAGCTGAGGCTGGAGAATTGCAGCATGAATCCGGAGTGGCTCCAATCGGCACGCTGCGAGCCTTTTGCTCTCACTGAACATTCAGCAGTCTGGGGCATCGGCGGGAGAACTGAACTGGGCCAGGTGGGGTGTCAAAGGGCTCCTGAGCCAAGGTGCTCGCTGGAGGACAGGAGGCAGGACAGCCTGAGGGGGTGAGGTCAGGCAGTGGGCAGGAGCGCAGGAACAGGGGCAGGACTGAGAGGGAGCCATGGGAGGCACCAGCACCCCAGCCCCACGCACACAGGACAGGCCGTGGAGCAAGCGGGCACAAGAGGCCGAGGCCTGTGCCACAGGCCGCATCTGCGAACTCGGAAGGAAGGAGTTCCGGGGAAGGCTGGGCTGCATGCGGCTGCAAGCCCTATCAGCTGGACGTAGGAGCAGGGGCTAAGGTGAAGGAAAGTCTGCAGGTGGCGAATGTGCGGCGGGAGAACAGAAGATGTGCATACATTTGGATGCCAGCTATACGTCAGGTCATTCCACAGAACTGCAGGGGACGCTTTCCCTTCAGGGAAGACCTTGCAACACCCACGAGGGACAGAGCAGTGGAGCACAGCCCTGCCTCCGCGGCACAGTGGCATTCTGGTAAAAACCACCACCTAAGCATCCAATGAAGACGCTGCTGGGGAAGGTAGTGGGAAAAGGCACAGGCCTCACAGCAGGGAAAAATGGGTTTGCAGGGACGCCTGGGTGGCTCAGCGGTTGAGCGTCTGCCTTTGGCTCAGGGCGTGATCCTGGGTCCCGGGATCAAGTCTCACGTTGGGCTCCCCACAGGGAGCCTGCTTCTCCCTCTGCCTGTGTCTCTGCCTCTCTCTCTCTCTGTGTCACTCATGAATAAATAATTAAAATCTTTAACAAAAAATGGATTTGTAATCCCAGCTTTGCACCCAAGGACTTACTGGGCCCTCACCTCTCTGCACCCTGACCTTCCCACCTGGAAGACTTTCAAACGGCTGCTGCGCAGATTAAATACTAAATTCACTAAAATAAAATCAATTACCTTAATTAACGCTAATCCACGCGAGGCTTAGTGCCTTCCCCACCCCGCCCACCCCAAGATTCTCAAGCACTAGGGCACCCAGCACCTCCCATGTCCAGAGCCCTGAGCCAGGCAGAGAAACCAGGCCCAGCCCAGGCCTGCTGGCACCCCGAGGCCCGGGGAAGCCGCTCTGTGAGATGGTGTGCTGGGCTCCAGCTTATCCAGGACCTCCTGGAAGTGCTGAGGAGAAGCAGGAGACGGTGTTTCAAGGCAACATGTTACCCAGAAACTAATCACTAAATATACAAATGAGACAAATGACAATTAGGAAATGGGGTTACAGAAGAAACCAGATGCAGAGAACAGGCACTTGGAGGTCTTGAGCCAGAAGAGGAAGAAGGGTGAGAAGAGGCCCCAGCTGTGCCCCCGAAGGAACAGTGGGGGAGGGGGTCCAGAGTGTTCTGGAAGACAAGGCTTTGCTGGCCAGACCTCTCTGTATGGGGGCAAAGCAGAGTTCTAGAGGGAAGCTGGAGATGTTGGGACCCTGTTACCCACTAGCCCCCGAGGCCCCAAGAATAAGCTGACAGCAGTGGCGGCAGGGCCATCCCCAACCCTTGCAGGATAAAGAGACCCGAACACCCCCAGGGAGCAGCCGGCTGAAGGACA